TTTCATATACTGATTTGCTAAACCCTCAAAATTGTAAGTATTGGCTCAAAACAAAATATATCAGGGGTGGCCGAACCTGCTCCGGTCTCACCTACATTAATTACTGTAATACTAGCAGATAGCATTCTCAAGTTCATATCATCCAATATGAAAAATACTAAATTTGAAGCCAAATGACTTGTGCTGTACTTTATACTGAAACATCACGTAGTCGAGTTGGCATCAATTGAATTGGCTGGACGTTCACATGCAAAATTGCGAATTTTCTAACGGTAAACCGAATTGCTACCCTTAAGGCAATCGCGTATAAAACTGAGAGAAATAATTCTTAAAATACGGATATGTTTGCCCCCCTGTTTTTTTATGAAAAGCATGCGATTTATCTTCCAACTGGTGTAAATTCACTTAAATTTCGACAAAAATTAAATAAAATTGATCAAAATTGCCCCCGCAATCTCCCCCTGCCCCTGTTGTACTGAAGTTGTTACAGTACTAGATAATCAGTTAAATCTACAGTAGCAGAAGATGCACTTCTTTTTATTCCTTTAACTGTATATTTTGTTTTAAGATGCACACGGGTGGCTTTCTGGTTGTATTCGAAGTGTGCCCGACTCGGATATTTTGTGTCCGATATTACCCCTAGATCACCAATACTCGATGACGTAGGGCACATAACAGTATGAAACACAATTCCAGCGAATCTGATATATTGTTTATATGTATGCTAGTCAAACTTCGATGTTTCGAACTTTGCGTGACCATCTGGAAAAAGTCGAAACATCTGGACTTCAAATCCCGAATAATAACACAGAAGGTGATTCTTTAAAAAAAATGACGAAACACAGGCTTCGACATTCTTATCAAATTCAACATTTATTTGTCAATTACAATTCCGAAGCTTGAACAGGTAAAATAACCACGGGACTTTTTAATGTTTTTGAACAAGTTAACATTTCACATCGATTTATTAGTTGTAATTTTCAATGTTTTTTTTATAACGAATGATCCTTGATTTCACATCGAAACAGCGAGAAATTCGACGCATAAAAGTACGATACATGTGTACATGAAAAGAATACAAGTAGTGCTATATAAGGGAACAATTATAGACTTTGTCGTAGCTTCGGTACATCGAGAAGTTCGAATCTTCGAATTTCGATTTATGGAAGTTTGGCTGTATTATAACAGGCTTGACTGCCTTTTTTGATACACGTTGAGAAACGATGGGGCCACTTATTAGTATCAACCAGACGGACTTAGTTAGCATCTAATCTAAGCCCGTGGTATTAATCCTCCCTGATGGCATCGGCAGAAAAAGGTCAAAATTAAGTATCCCGGAACGGCTTTAAGTCTTCAGGGTACCACTTAATAAAATAAAAATAATTTAGATTTTCAAAAATAAAGAACGTGTCCGAGAGGTACCCCGATCGACGTTATTATTCCCGGAATAGTCCAACTACTTGTTGATCCTGTGTTTTCCTGAAAGTTCTGTGACTGATTGATAAAAACGTAGCTGTACTATGACAGCTATTTTTAAGCACTGGAGAGAAGCTGCTACATGTACGTTGATATAAGTTGCCAAGACTGACAGAGCCCCAGCGATTCGACCCAAGCTTACTGGTACTGGCGACCAGTATGATTACAATATTTTGATGTTGAAAAAAAGCAGCAAAAGTAGGTTCATGCCTAACCTGTACGTTTTTCCTGGAGGTACTGCCCACGAAGTTGACTTTTCGAAAGAATGGGTAGATGTTTTCAATGACTGCAACAGAGATAGGTTGTTTGAATTCACGAAGCGTGGTGGAACTGGATAACCTATGGTTAAATAGACGACGCAGTCCAGATTTTGAACACGTACCAAGTGAGCTAGCCTTTCGGATTTGTGCTATACGAGAAACATTCGAAGAATTTGGAGTCTTATTAGTGAGAAATGCTGACGGGTCACTGAAGAGCAGTAACTTCAAAGACGTTCCTCTAGCAGTCTTTCAAAGTCGATTATTCAGTTTTGAGACCAAGAGTGATTGAAGATGCAAAAGGGTTCTTGATAATGTGCCAGAATTTGCAGGTTATGTCTGATTTTGGTCACTCCACGAGTGGGCCAATTGCATTGGTTGACCCCTACAGGAGTGTAGCGTCCATAGAAAAAAAAGCCCGCGCTTACACATGAACAATCCGTGAATACCAAATGTCTAAACAATGACAACTTAACAATAACAAAAGATGACATCATGCTTACAGTGCTATATTGATGTGATATCAAAATATCCACTAAAAACTCTTCGGTTCTTTATGACCTTTATTCTGTTTATTAAAAAAACCTGCAAGTACAAAATACAACACATTACACATTCACTCAAATCTCTCACATAGTCTGTTTACATCAATGGACATAACTCTTACATATATACTTAATTTATCATCGTAATGCATAAAAGATACATTTTTTATTTAATGAACTCCATATAGCAATATGATATCATTTTTACAATGTACATTGCATTATATTGCAATTAGTTCTACATATCAATAACAGTTGATATAAAATTAAACGTACCCCACAGATCCTGCGGGGGTTTACAGAAATTCCCTTTGTCTTAAGCGACGGATGAAAGGTGAACAGTTTTAACAGTGTTATACATGTACTACTGAAAATGAAATAAATACCTTATAGAAACAATACTAATCACGATACATGTACTGTATAATTTGGAATAAAGAAATTATATACAGGTCGAACGACTGAAAACTTACACTTTATCCATTTCTTCACATTTAATCAGAATATTATGATTAAAAAGTGAAATAATAATTCAAACATTACATAATACTAATATTCTGATAATACCTTACAGAATATACATATAAATAATAATAATGGAACATACATGGTTAAAAACTCACCCAGTTCTCTAATTCCCCAAATATCTTTAAACACTTCCAATATCTAAATGTTGTTATATATCCTGCAACGCCTTTGTGCTGAGTGATATTAGTCAAGTTAAAAAGTATGCAGTTGTTAGCTATGACCAATAAAAATGTCCGTTGATGTCTCGTGACTAAAAGTACTCACATTCCACACATTCTTACATACAGGTAACACACAAACATTAAGGGTCCTCGCACCACATTCTTTCATCACACAACTATACTACCAAACAACCATTTGAGGTTCCTTACACCAAGACCTTTCAAAGTCTTACATACAATAAATATATATATCCCTGTTACACAATCAAGATAATAACATGATTGCATTTAATCATTAACTAAATACGTATATAGCCATTACCTAATGCTTAAAAGTATGAACACTAATAACTGTCTATAGCATCATGGGAAGTGACTGTCTGAGGCGGCACGGAACATTGTTGCAACACATTGTATTCAATTTAAATGTACATTTAAGAATGAAATTGTGGATTAACTGTCTGAGGCGGTATAAAGCATTTCATTGTGTTAATGTCATGCACAGCATTATATGTGATGGACAAAGTTGATCCTAATTTGTTGTGCCTTTCCGAAGGTAAAATATGTAACATTGCTCAGTATTCCCAAAGTTCAAGGGTGACAATTGGCCTGGAAAACTTGATGAATGATTGTCTGAGGCAGCACGAAACAAGTTTATCTGGTAATGAGTAAAATTGTTACAGACATTATTATTTTTCCTTCATTTTTCCTATACTTATGTTGGCATTTTAAAGACATGTTAATTATATATACCTATACATACATCCATGTAATATTTTGTTTAACATATAGAGTGTGACATGGTTAACATATATATTATATTGTGACTTGACTGTCTGAGGCAGCATGAAGCAGTATGATACATGTATAATACTTATCAGATAAAGGTGTCTGCTGGTAGCAGACTTAAACAACATGGAGAAGTGTTTTTTTTCTGATAGCTTGGTTAACGTTGGAATCATAACAAGGCAAGTTTCTGTCTGTGACAGCTGCCAGTAACTGTCAGAAATGTTAATAAGCATATGGTGCAATGTCTTTTTCTGATTGTTTGATATATCTTATATGCTTTTGTAAATAGTGACACAATATTTTGCATGGTGCGATATTGGTATATTATAACATACACAGGTTTCTCTGGAGTGGGGCACTTGAACAGAAATATGGTAATATTTAAGTTCAAGTTTGTGGCGTTTATTTTGAAGCAAGCCCCATTTTGTTTGGTTCTTTGTACACCTTATTATAAAAATCAACACAAAGATGTATACATATGTTCGATTTCTGGCATTTAGAATAAATGCTCATTTTCGACAATTTAAGTGTTTGTTATTTTATCGACAAAAAATATAGCAGAGTATAACCTGTGTGTGCTGTTGGGTTTAATGCAGACTAAACACGATTATATAATCCTATAATATCTTTTCCGGAATCTATTCGTCTATTACTTCCAATCCGGCTTTTCCGGTGTAATGTTGTGGTCCGGTAAATTACAAACATCAATTAACGAAATGAAGAAAGCAGCTTATACTTGTCTTTCAACATCAAAATAGTAAAAACATGCCATCATAAAGTGTCTCTCTTGAACCCTTAGCCATAACGCTTTCTCTTTGATAGAATTAGTCTATCTTTTTCCTAAATAACTAGTACTACCCCCACCTATTTCAAAATAGACATCACATGAACGTAAATAATGAAATTATGAAAACTCCTGCCCAAATTCTTTTAATAACCTCTTTTATACGGATGAAAAAATGGTATGTGTTATAATAGCTCTATATGGATTTTAAATATTTCAAACTAAAAAAAGCCTCATCACAACACATGCCAATAGCTCTTCAGATAAAGTTTTCCTAAGGGAAGTATCGGGTTTGATATTGAATAAGAACAAAACTAGTAATAATAATAATAATTCGAGGTTCTTATATACTGCTTTAATACAACCTAGTTCGTAGGTCGTCTCAAAGCGGTTCACACATTATTATCCGTGGTTATAGGGCCTTCGCAACAAGCCAATATCTTTCTCAACTCACTGGGGAGCATACAACCGCAGCTGCCATTTCGGCGCTAACAGCTCTAGCATTCTACAATGCTAACACTGCCCAACCACATACCCATTTACAGCCTATTAGACCGGAACAAGCAAAGTAAAGGTTCTTGCTCAAAGATACAACACAGTGCCGTGCCATGACTCGATCCCGCAACCCTTCGGTCACGAGCCCGGCATCCAACCACTAAACTACCGTGCCTATACGGAAAACTGATTGTCTCTGGATTAAACAAAATATGTACACAAAATGTATGTGAAATCATCTAGCCTGAAGTATTGACGAAGTCTCTAGGTGTATAATTTGGTAAAAGCAAACATGGATGTGACCAGGTATATCTGAGTGAAAAAATCAAATGTAAAAATTGTCTTACTATGCGGAAGGGAAGCGAACAAACATGTATCGATAGAAACATTAATAAATGTATAAAAAAAAATATGTACTGTATAATAACAGCAAATTTTTGCGTACCTAAATAAGGCAAAAACAAACAGGAAGAGAATAAGGGAAAATTGTAAATAATTGTAAGTAAAACTCCCAAGTGAAATATAATATGAGGAGGGGAAATCTTTTCGGACAGAGAAACATACTTCTAAAATGGTTTCTGGCACTAAAATAATGAATCCTAGCTTACTGGAAAACTAGTAAATATGGAAAAGACTTTTGTATACTTAATTTAGAATTTTTTTTATCAGGAAGTAATATTTGCTTGGATTACTACGAAAGGGGTTCAAACAAGAAAATTACAAAAAAAATGCCAAATTGAAATCAGAAAGCAAATATAGGGGAAGGAAAACACCAAAGTACACAAAAAAAGCATTCGTTTAAACTAAAAGGATAAAGTCGGATATACGTTTACTCGATGATGTTTTTAAGACTGGTTCCTTCTCTCAAAGAAAGATTCAAACACACTTAAAAAAAGACAGAATCATCACTAGTTAAAACGTTAAGCAAAGAGATTGGATAAACATCATTTTAGTCTGATATCTCCCAACATTACACAATGTAACACAATTTGAAGTTTTAAATAAAACCTCTAATACAACAATTCTGTTTAACAAGTTTTACAGTAAAGCTGCATTTGATATATTGATATAGCAAAAATATATGAATCATGGAATTAGGTAGTCAACTAACCAATAACAAAATCAACATGGGATGATTTTTAATTGAATAAACATAAGATAAAATAATTGTTAAATTCATGTACAACATTACTGCCCCAATAATTTCTGCAACTTTAAAAGTGGAAAATAACAGGTAATCTTGCTTGTAAACTATTTGGAAAATGTGTGGATTTAAAAACCTATTTTATTGATTGTGCTTCCTGAAATCCTTTCTCGAAAACAGAAATTGCTACATGTATGTAAGTAACTAAAGTAGAAGGTTTGAACTCATAGTAACAGCAAACACCATAAATATGATATAAACCATAATTTGATACTCAATCAACAGATCTTACCACATAAGCTAGTGTGAAACGTTACAAGTCAACGTCACAAATACTCCGAAACAAAAAATTATATTACACGGGGTAACAAAACATTGAAACAAAAAATACGGAATGAAAGGATGATTTTATGAAAGAAATAAGTGAGTGACAGTATGTGAGAATTAATGAATGATATCGCTCTACTTTCTTCTCATTGTCGTGCCCTTGTTTACTCCGAAATCTCCTCTACACGAAATAACAAGGTATAAAACCTGGGCTGGCGAAGTTCTGGCCCAGGACGAATGGAAGGGTGCTGCATGGAGCAAAAATAAAATCATAAATATTTACTGACAAAACACTACTTTGGTACAATTTAATTCAAAGTACTCACTTGTCATAATGAAATAAATCACGTATTTATATTTTTGTTGCAGCGACATTATAACACTTATCATGAAGTAGGTAGCAAATACCAACCAGAGTTGCTTGAATGAATGAAACAGTTGGTTACGTCATCACACGTCATATTTGTTGGTTACATCATCACGCGTCGTGTTTAACTTAGCCTCGTGACAGAATGTACATAATTTATCTAACCACATCTGAACCGTCTATAAAACACATGTATTCAAACTGTCATGCTCCATGCAAATCCAGAACGGCCACTAAAATCATTTATCTTACAGTTACCACGTCATTCACTAGGCAGATTCACATCCAAGACACCATAATCCAGGAAAACTTTGTCAACAGGTTGGAAACCCAATCTTGTGATCATTTCACTGTTACCTTTAATTTTGGTATACATGGTCGAACAATGAAGGTCAGCTACCAGAAAAAAACTGCATTTATTACTTTAATGCAATAGTCCAAAAAAGAATGTATTCCTTATCCATTCCGAAACGCATGCCTCTAGCGTGTTTCCCGGAATGTCGGTATCGTAAGAAATATTAATCCTGCTCGTCAGTTACTGCAACACGAATAAAACGTTTTAAAGTTAGTTTTTGCAAATTGATCGACTCAAGTGTGACAAAATTTCATATGAAAAGTCACATTTCTAAAAAGCATATCTATTGTAAATGAAACAAGAAGCCCAATGGGCCTGAATCGCTCACCTGGTATTAATCTCACACGTGTAATCTTAAAAGTGGACTAAAATACAACTACAGGCAGAATATCAGCGTTTGATTCACCAGAACCTATTAAAGGGTTCAAACATATGACGCCCGTGACCTTGAATGTCGAACAAGGACATCAGGTTGTAAGAGTTTATAGTCTTCCAACCCAGCATGCTTCTTGCACGATATCATTACCCTGGACCTTTTGGTTATACAGAACAAAGTATTTAAAGATTAAATATTATCACCCTTGGCCTTTTGGTTATTGAAAAGAAGTCATTCAAAGGTTTCAAACAGATTTGACCCCTGTGACCTTGAATATATGTCAAGTGCATTCATTTGAACAAACTTGGTAGTCCTTCATCCCAGCATATACATGTTACTGGCCAAATACAATCACCCTAGGCCTCTTGGTTTATTTTAGAAGTAGTTGTTTCAATGTTTTAAACATATTTGACCCATGTAACCTTGAATATAAGTCAAGGTCATTTATTTGAATTAACTTGGTAGCCCTTCAAACCAGCATGTTACTGGCAAAATATCATCACCCCTAGGCCTCTCGGTTAATCATAAGAAGTTGTTTAAAGATTTTAACATATTTGACCCCTGTAACCTTGAATATAAGTCAAGGTCATTTATTTGAACAATTTGGTAGCCCTTCATCCCAGAATATTACTGGCCAAATATCATTACCTTAGGCCTATTGGTTATTCAGAAGAAGTTGTTTAAATGTTTTAAACATATTTGACCCCTGTGACCTTGAATATGATTCAAGTTCATTTATTTGAAACTTGGTAGGACTTGGACACGGCACTATGCCATAAGCTCACTCGGGCCAGGTGAGCTAATAACAAAACCAAGCAGGCGAAATGTTACTCATAATAATATGAATTGTATCATTGAGAACTCTTTCCAACATTGAGCAGCAGCCACAGTGAGAAGCTAGCATATATGCCGGTGCAGTTCTATTACATATTTTATACTGATTTTCCAAAACATATGTAAACAGCGGCCAAATATGCCTATGTTGCTCACTTCGTACTAATCTCGTATTTGTAGATTTAAAAGTAGACTTATATTAAGCCACAAGCCATATATCATTACAGGTGACTCCAAGTCATACAGAGGCCCCTGTTAAAAGATGTAAACACATTTGACCCCGATGACCTTGAAGTAAGACAGACAAGTTGAACAAACTTTGAAAGCGGGTCAAGGTCAACAACTTTACCTTAGCATATTACTTATCAAATATCATCACCCTGTAACTTTTTGTTATTCAGGAAAATTGTTCAAAGTAATCGATATATATTTGACGCCTGTGACCTTGAATATGGGTGAAGGTTATCAATTTAAACAAATATGACAAACTTCCACTTAGCATGTTTCTAGCCCAACACCATCATCTTGGCCTTTTGGTAATTCCAAATAAGTCTTCAAATGTGTTTTTTTAAGATAAGTGAAACCTGCGACCTTGAATATGGGTAAATGTCATCCAATTGAACAAAATTGGTAACCCTTGATTCCAGCATGCTACCGGCCATATATCATCAGCCTAGACTGTTAAGTCATTCAGATGAAGTCGTTGAATTTTTAACATATTTGACCCCTTGTGACTTTAAATATGAGTCAAGGTCAGTCATTTGAACAACCTTGATAGCCATTCATCCTAGCATTTAAGTATATCATCAATCCAGCCCTTTCAGTTATTCTGAAGAAGATGTGCAAATGTTTTCTAAGACACTTGACCACATGACCTTTAATACAGGTGAATGTCATTCAGTAGAATAAACTTGGTAGCCTTTCATCCCAGCATGCTACTGGCAAACTACCATCACCTTCGGCGCCTCATGTCTATTTAAAAAATTGTTTAAAAAATGTTGACGCCGGATGCACTGGGCTCTTTGGGCAATCTAAGCTAAATAATTATCATGGCAGTATGAACAAAGAAAAAATACAAATTATAGGCGTAAATGTTATTCAATACATTAATTATAAACGATATTAACATATAATGAATGTTATTAGATCTGTATTTTTCTACTATCGTTTTATTTGTGAAACTAGCAAAAGTCCTTACCATGGCACGAGTCGCATGACGCAGACACGGAATCGTCGGGCTTTGGCATTGGTTGCACAACGCTCCCTGTAATAATAAGTTATTGTATATGTGTATTGCCTACCAAATCAAACTCAACACTGATTCAGTTAAAAGTGAGTATCCAGATTGTGAGATCAATGTTATTCAAACCTTTTGATAGCATTTAATACCGCCTAGCGGTTCTTCTATTGTGTAAAAAATGTTTAAAAGCCATAATTATCCTGACACCAGATGTTATCCAGTGCTTTAAGAGCTTAACGGGCTTGGCAGATTTGCAATAAATCAATTTATCATCACTTTTAAGAATAAAAAAGAGTCATGAAACGCAATAGCACCTATTTACTTGGAATGGATAAATTTGGTAAGTAAACCCCGAGTCTGCAGAAGACTGAACAACTGTCGACTCATACGATCATGGATTAGGATCCATCAAATATCCTCTTTTCCAAACATTTTGATACACTTACTAGGTCGATCCTGCTGCGGCTGTGTGCGGTTCAAGGAGAGCTAAAAAAAATCAGAAATGTCTATTTAAAGTCTGTGATCATGTAACAAAAATAGATATTACACGGCAGTTTACTTTTAAATATGCCAATAACTTATCTGATAGTAATAGTTGAACGTCTTTGAAAGATACCTTTATCCAACTAAGAAGATAATAAACAACAAACAATGCATATTACCATACCATCCCCAGCCTCAAAAATTGTGCAACATCAGTAGGGCCTTTATATAAACCATATAACCATTTCTCCTTCAGTGATATCCATGTATAAGGCATTATTACTGGTGTGGATGAATTTAATGTTTTCCCACCCTTCACAGGTGTGCCTCCCATTTTAGCAGGGAAAGATACTTGTCACTTCCTAGGGAGAATAGGCTCGTGCCGATTAGCATGTGTTCAATTATGACGTTATAACAATGTGAATGACAATATCTATACCCCACATGTGTTTTATGTTTACAAACATGGTAGACTACTGCCGATGGAGTTGTGACTGAAATAATAGGATGGGAGAAAATTATCGCCCCCATTTTGTTTTGGTTGGATAACCAAAAAATTTTTCTCAACATTTCGTTATATCTACTTAAATTAGAAACAACCGCAATGTGAAATATTAAATTATTTCAGGAAGATTAACATCAACGATATTTCTAAACACGAAATAAATATGTTCTTTATGAAAACAAGGTTACTGCGAAGCAGTACATAATACGCCTGTCACAAGTTGAATGAGCAGTCGTTGCAATACAAATGTATGTGAAATATTTGTCAGTTATTGATGTTAAAGGAGAAATATTTCCACATACCCGGTAGATTGATGACACTCACTCCACTGATTTTGGGGCTATAACTGCATAGAATACAGTCGGATATCTAGCTTTTCCGAGCTCTTAGGGAATTAACCTACCGAAATGAATCCATTGAAAACAATAAAATATCGAGCGGACACCATTTCAGCCAGTGAATAAAGGGATATAGCTCCGTAAATAAGGGTAGGATAATGGTGGCTATCGGACTCGTCTAAGGTTTTATGGAAATAAACCTTCCCATGAAGTTTGAAGTCATTCCGTTGAAATTACTCGTGGTATAGAGCGGACACTGTTTTAGCTATTGAATAAAGGATCATAACGCCATAATTTACAGTTGAGCAATGGTTATCAAACTCGTCTCGTCTGAGCTCTCACGATAATTAAACTTTAAGTTAGTTATTCGATTGAAACTTACTCGAGATATCGAGCGGACACTTTTTCAGCCATTGATATATTGTAAAAGGGGCATAAATAAGAAAATAAGAGTCAGACAATGGTTGTTATCGAATTTGTCCGAGCTCTCACAGCATAAACCTACCTATGACGTTTGATGTTATCTGTTGAAAATTACTTGAGATATCGAGCAGACACCGTTCTCATAATAATATAATACGGTTTCGTCTTTCGACGTATAAGAATCAAACAATCTTTAAGAGTGAAATTAAGGTGTATTCTGCATAAACTTCCTTTCGAGGTAAACTATATAGAAACTACAATTGCCACAGTATTATTGTGTAGACACATATCATCTTTCCAATAGTGGAAACTATTGCTGAAACCAGTAAGACGAATCTTTAACATGTTAAATACATGATAGCACACATCAAAATAGTGTAGCAATATTTGAATAAATACACCAGAACAATTTGATACAAAGTTGAGGTACAATAACAACTTAGGTTAGGACAATAGTGGTACATACCTTCTCAAGTTTACCTATGGAGTCTTCATGTTTTTTGTCTTCATTTTGGATACTAATGGCTTCTTCGTATTTCCTATCAAACATTTTAATTTCTCTGTCTTCTCGCTCGTGAATTGTGCCACTTAGAAGATCATCCATCATTCCCCAGTAGTATCTATCCTGGTTCCAAGCATTCAGGCTCTTCAAGGTGTTGATACCCAAGGGTACTTTGTATGGTCTATTTTCAAGCGGTGATGTATGAAATGGTACCACCCGCCATTTTTTGTCCTTGCTGTTAATGGACTCCATAAGTAATGACTGTGCAACTAATGCAGTATAGTCATTTTTAACAAAGGATTTCGTCAAATACAGAAAAGCATATGTACTGTTGCTATAAGCTGCTTCCAAAGCGTTCAATTTGGTTTCCCCCAATCCTTCCTTGTCATATAGCATTGCCTTTACATTTGCTTGCTTCCTGTTTACAAGACTAAGAACGCGGCCGTCTATACTTTGTCGGAATCCTTCAGCAGCATCACGGTCATTCTCACTGTATACTACCATAACGTCAGCTTGGGGAGCATTCAGTTCTAATCGGAATCTGTGCTTGTATTTCTCGATCAGGCTTATCCTTGCTTTGTCAATCGCACGCAGCTCCCCGGATGAATTACGGTGCAAACAACTGTAGTCCATCTCTTCATCTGGTTAATTGCAATCAAAAAGGATAATAATTTACATCAGAATACTATTACCGGCCAATTGGACGAAAGTCATTCAGAAAAAAACGATCATAATAACAATTTTGTCAAACAAAATTTCAAAACACAAAAACGACTTCAAAAAATATTTTTCTTGTCAGCAATAAAAAGACACAATGAACCAGGAACCTATAAATTTAGGATTTCAGTGGAGCGAAGTTTAAGAAAAGTATGACATAGCATCACAACATCAGGAATGAACCTGATTTTTGTTGATAACGAACAAAGCTTTGGAGACACCAAACGAACGGTAAGACATAATGTTTCCTTTGGTAGTCTATGTTTCTTGTCGTCTGCTCTCTGTCCACCAGAAAATACATTATATCATATTGAACAATCTTAACACACACGGTTGATTAAAACAAAGAAGGAAAAAAAGCAGTTCTAATTATAACGATTACCGTATCGTAACTTCAAAATATTTCCCCAATGTAGGACCTAGTCGCAAATGTTGCAGTAGAAAAATAGCGATACTCCAATATTACAACTTTGCAAAATCCGCACACTAATAAAAATTCGACCAATCAAAAGCCATTGTTCAAAGATTTAACGGGTGTTGAGTAAATGTTTTCAGTTCCATTATACAGCTACGGATAGAAATATTACACTGATTTTCAATTACAATCGATCATGATCAGAAGCCAGTGAACGACAGTATGGATGTTTTACAGACTCATGGAAGATTTAGGAACAAACCAAATGTGTTCGAAATAGGCCGAAATCTAACCTTTGACCAATTCGATGCCTGGCTACAGCTGGCATTTTGCTGAAAAAAGTGAGCTTTATGTGGGTTTTTTTTAAACAAAATTGGTAAGTATCAACGTAAGTTTCTCTCTCAGAAACTTCCATTACCATCAACAAGGGAAAACATTCTATAGCCGGGTATGTCTCAGCAGATCAGAAGCCATGGAGGCTATTATTAATATCCAACCTAAAAAGAAAAAGCGATACGTACCACTACACATAATTAATATCTATTGAATTCACTCATAAGTATCAGGCACGTAACATCTCGTCACCAAACAAGAGGCCCAATGGGCCTGAATCGCTCACCTGGTATTAATATCACACTTGTAATCTTAAAAGTAGACTAATATAAAGCTACAGGCAAAATATGTGTTCGATCCATTTGAATCTATTAAATGATTTAAACATTCGACGCCTTTCACCTTGAAAGTTTATAACCTTCCGTCCCGGCATACTTTCAAAACAAGTCATTTAAAGATTAAACAATATTTGATCCCTGTGACCTTGAATATGAGCAAAGGCCATTCATTTCAACAAACTTGGTAGCCCTGCATCCAAGCATGTTACTGATCAAATATCATCATCCAAGGCCTTTTCGTGATGGAGAAGAAGTTGTTTCAAGGGTTTAAACATATTTGACCCCTGTGACCTTGAACATAGATGAAGGTTATTCATTTGAATAAACTTGGTAGTCCTTCATCTGAGTATGTTAATGGCCAAATATCATTAGCCTATGCCTCTTGGATATTCAGGAGAAGTTGTTTAAAGGTTTTAAACATATTTGACCCCTGTGACCTTTAAAATGGATGGAGGTTGTTTGTTTGAATAAACTTAGTAGCCCTTTCTCTGAGCATGATACTGGTCAAATATCATTGTTCTAGGCCTCTTGGGTATTCATGAGAAGTTGTGTAAAGGTTTTAAACATATTTGACCCCTGCGGCCTTGAAAATAGATGAAGGTCATTTGAGTGATCAAACTTGGTAGCCCTGCTTCCCAGCATGTTAATGGCTAAATATCATCAACCAATGCCTTTTTGTTATTAAGAAGAAGTTTTTGAAAGATGTTTAACATATTTGACCCCTGTGCCCTTGAAAAAAGATGAAGGTCATTTGCATTTGTTTGAACAAACTTGGTAGCCCTTTATCCCAGCATGTTACTTGCCAAATGACATTAGCCTATGTCTCTTGGATATTCAGGAGAAGTTGTTTAAAGGTTTTAAACATATTTCAGCCCTGTGACCTTGAATATAAGTCAAGGTCATTCATTTGACCAAATTTAGTAGCCCCCCTATTACGGCATGCTACTGGTCAAATAGCATCATCTTAGGCCTCTTGGTTATTGAGGAGAAGTTGTTTAAAGGTTTTAAACATATTTGACCCCTGTGACCTTGAATATAGGTAAAGGTCATTCATTTTAACAAAACTTAGTAGCCCTTTATCCTAGCATGTTATTGGCTAAATATCATTATCCTAGGCCTCTAAGTTATTCAGAAGAAGTTGCTTAATGATATTTTAAGACAATTGACCCCCTGTGACCTTGAACATGGGTAAAGGTCATTCATTTGAACAAACTTGGTAGCTCTTCATCACAGCATGCTACTGGCCAAATATCGACATCCTCGGCATGTTGGTTATTCAAAAGAAGTTGTTTAAAGATTTGTTAAGACAATTGCATGACTCCTGTGACCTTGTCTATGAGTGTAGGTCATTTTTTTGAATATTCTTGGTTGCTCTTCATCCCAGTTTGCATCTGGCCAAATATCATCACCCTATGCCTTTTGGTTGACGATAAGAAGTTGTTCAAAGAAAATATTTGACGCCAAACAGACGGACGACGGATCCTGTGCCATGGCATAAGCTCACTTGACATTCGGGCAGGTGAGCTAATAACTAAACAAAATATTATCTAATATTTTCACGCTATAAACAGCTAGAAAATATGCATCTTTTTAAGTTACCGATATCGTTCTTGCCTCTGTGTTCGTCTTCTTCTTTGATAGCATCTGGTTCCACTTGTGACGGCAACCGTTTATACACTGTAAAAGTTAAAAAAGAACAGCGGAATTCATAATAACAGGTCATGTAAAATCATGTAAAGATTTCAACAGAAGTATTTGTGACTGGCTGACTCCCAAATGAAGCTTGCATTCTGACTATCTTCTGAAGCAAATGACACAACTAGGTCACGTGCTCCAAAAAGAAATATAAATTTTGTATTTTCCACAACAAATATGAAATGAGATTTATCAACTTCATATTGATCACTCCTGATGATAGCACGCAAGGAGAGGAAAACAGATTACCCGGGGAAAATCCTTGTAGTAAGGCATGCGACTCCATACCTATTCAAGTCTGATGAGCTATCTGCTGCGCCGCCTGACCAGCCGTACTCTGAGGTTAGTACCTTTGTGATGTTTTACTTGGCGATAGCTGTATGAGATTATCATTTTATTCCTAATACCTCTTTATTGGCCCCGTCCCTAAACCTCACAGGGCTCCATCCTCCGTTTATCGAGGTTGATTTCGCTTTGTCCTTGGATACTTCTGATAAAACTTCCTTAAAATCCCTCAATTCGTACAGAAAAGGGATTTTAAACATTTTCCGTTATGTTCCCCCATGAAGCCGCCCCCCAAACGAAAGGTTTTATTGGAATAAATCAGAAATGATAACATCGCTACAGTCAAACACCGCAATTGTCACGTTGTGAGATTGAAAAATATAGAGACCAATTAAACAGGCCTAATATATTTCATTTTAACTGTTTCGTTATATTTTAAATGCCCAATTAGTTAAATGAAATTTTCATTGATTACCAATTATAACGAACAACATACAATAGTATTTTCTGGTCAAATCTGATGCGTAGCAATCGTGTGTATTGGTTTGTTTCCTTCATGTCACATATCATATGACATATCACTGTTTCGGACAATTTCACTTCTCAATGTTGAGGGCAAGATATTTCTAGCGATCCTTGCAAGAAGAATGGCCAACTATCTACTCGGCAATAAGTACAATAATAAATCAATATTGCAGTTCAAAAAGGATATGGGGCTGTCTGGAACATACCAGTGGGATATCAGAGAACATAAGAGATGCCAGGGAGAACAAAGGAGAACTAGCTGTGGTTTGGCTTGACGTAGCAAATGCTTATGGATCAGTGTCACACCCAAACTGGTGGACTAAACACTGGAAAGAAACCATAATCCAGGGAAGTTCAGAGAGATGTTGAACGGATATTTTGAGAAGCTCTGACTAAGATTCACAGTAGATTGGCGAGAGACGAAATGGCAGAGACTTAACGTTGGGATAGTGACGGGCTGAACTATCTTAGTCACTCTCATTGCAGCAGCAATGAACCTCATTGTCAAATCAGTAGAGAAGATGAGCACAGGGCCTTACTTGTCAACAGGGATAAGGCAACCACCAACGAGGGCTTTTATGGATGACATGACTTTAACAACGAAAACGGTCACCGAAGGAAGATGGCTACTGATATATATCTGGAGAAGATGGTCCATTGGACACGAATAAAGTTCAAACCAGCGAAGTCAATGAGTATAGTGCTGAAAAAGGGCAAGACACAGAGTTGAAGTTTAAGATCCAAGAAGAAAAGATGCAAACGGTGTCTGATAATCAGATGTATCAGCATGGGGTGCTCCCAAGGCTACTGCAACCTCTGCTTATATACGAGGTCCCTCTTACAGCAGTGGAAGAAATAGAGGGCATGATCAACAAACATCTTCGCAAATGGCTTAAAGTTCCTCGTAGCTTCAGCAGTATTGAGCTGTACGGGAAAAGTAACAAGGCAAAGTATTGCAATGCAATCTATAGTCCCCCATCGGTTATGATTTCTATATTTAACAAATAGTACACTTATGTCAAACAAAAGAATAGGTCAAAGGTCAAGTCATACATCACAGTGACCTAATTATTGCACTCTGTATTCCGCCATCCCAAGATGTCCTAGTACACCAAATATTGTTCCTGAGGGTGTAATATAAAGATATGCACTGGACAAACTTTTTAAAAGTAAAGGTCAAAGGTCAAAGCATAAGGAACAGTGATGTCATAGTGACCATCTTCGTGCACTGGTAACTGCCAGTGATAAACCTTTTTTCAAAATTTTAGTCCAAAGGTCAAGTTATAAGGTCAGAGTGACCTAATGTTTGCACTCTGCACTTACATTCTGCATTCCACCATCCTAAGATGTCCTTGAACATCAAAACAGGTAAATCTAGGTAAAATAGTACAGAAACAGTAATCTCGAACATGTGCTTTCATCTTGTCAACTGGCTTTGGGAGATGGTCAATACACATGCAGGCATGGCAATGTCCAAGCAAACATTGCAGATTCCCTGGAAAGAGAAAGGAAAAGAAAGAGAACAACAACATCCAGTTTAAAAATACTGAGTTTCATCAAGACAGAACAGCAAGGACAGCGTGTAGATCAGGCTAGTGGGGTCTTTGGTTCAGCAGTAGACTGGCATATGACGGTAGACCTGAAAGGGAGATCGACGTTTCCGGCAGAGATTGCTGTGACAACTCAGCGACCTGATATTGTCATCTGAACACGGACAACAAAGCAGGTTGTGATCCTGGAGCTGACTGTGACATAGGAAGAAATGATTGAGGGAGCGCATGAAAGGAAGATGGCCAAATATGAAGATCTGGTCAGAACCTGTCACAAGAAGGGCTGGTGGACATGGTGTATGCCTAGGGAAAATGGCTGCAGAGGGTTTTCGGGGCACTCGTTGTGAAGAGCAATGAGTACTCTTGGTGTAAAGGGTCAGGAGAGAAGACAGGTATGTGAAAAAGCAGGCGGGAACGCAGAAACATCGTCCATGTGAATTTGGAGGGTTTGAGACAGAGAGTGGAAATTGGCAAGTTAGTGATGTGTGTAGCAGTGGCAATGAATTTTAAAATTGCAGGTTATGGACAGTGTAATCCGTATTCACTGCAGCAGACCACCCGCAAATGATGGCTACGAAGCTGAGCAGTTCCAGATTGAGACTGATCACCTCAGCCAGCGAACCTTCAGAGGCCGCTGCGTAAGCGCCGAAACGACCAATGAAGAAAGAACCCAAATGGCGATGTATATAAGGTAATTACCTTATAATAAAAATAGTATTCCTGTTGACCTTAAGCTAGTAACATCAATACCTGCACATGTAGCTTTGAATAATATATATATATATCATCCATGTAAATATATAAGTTTTAGGCTATCTGACATCTTCTACATAGGTACAGTTTTATGTGATATTAAATAATGAATGACACTTGCTACACCTAGCATTGTGGAAACTTAGCTTAGGTTTTAATTGAAGTAAGAAATCAAATCAGACGAGTCAGGTCTCCGACTCGAGAGATTACACCCTCCTCGGGAAATTTATATGTTCTATCTCTATAAAATCTATGTTACATTGTACTGAACAATCTGTGGAATTCTTGAATACAACACATTTGAACAACAATCATTTCTTTGTGTCATCATTCAGACTCCGACAACAATTATTAAGACGCCTAAACATTCAAAACAATTGTCGTTGTTTCACAAGACAAATTGAATATTCAATTTCTCCCTGTTGAAAACCACATGACAGAATATGTCTTAGATGTTATTTTTTTTATTCGCAATCATGTTATAACTAACATGAATTATTTACAAAAATCAACTAATCTTCAAAACTTGATTATAAAAACAACAAGAGGCCCAGAGAGCCTTATCGCTCACCTGGATATCTAAGCAATCATGGCAAAATATTCTCCAAATGAGATCCAAGGGAATAAGCCAGACCCAAAGGCCAGTCATTGTAGCATATCTGTATTAGAATTGTCATGCCCAGCAATTTTATGTATGGTTATGGGGTGGGGATCTCAAATGTTTCCAAGCTTTGACTAAGAAACTGGGTCCTTAGTGTTGTGGCCAGACCCCAGGATCAATTCTAATATCATGACTGCATTCGTCTCTTTATGCCAAGTATTTGTATACATAGTTTTGGGGTGGGGATCTTAACCGTTTCAAAGTTATGACCCAGGGGTTAAGTCTCCAATGGTTGGGCAGACTCCGAGGCCATCCTGGAAGCGTATGCGCATTCATCTCTTTATAATCAGCAATTGTATACATGATTATAGGGTGGGGATCTCAACTGTTTCCAAGCTGTGACTCAGAAACTAGGTCTCGAGAGGTTCGGTCAGACTACAGGGTCTATTCTGATATCATGACTACATTCGTCTCTTTATGCCCAGCATTTGTATATATAGTTTGGGGGTGGGGATCTCAACTGATCCAAGGTTATGACTAAGGACCATTTCTCTAAAGGAGGGGTTAGAGCACAGGGCCATCCTTCAAGCAAATGTGCATTCTTCTTACGGTGGGGATCTTAACTATTTCTAAGTAATACACCTTTTTTGGCCCCACCACTTAGCCCAGGGGGTCAGCCCCACCATTTGTACAATTTTGAATCCCTGCCTCCCATGAATGCTTCCGACCAAATAAGATTGATATCCATCGCACAGTTCTACAGAAGAAGTCTTTTAAAGCAATAGAGCCAAGATGCCCCCTTTTGGCCCTACCCCTCAGCCCCCTGGGGGGTCAGCCCAACCATTTGTACAATTTTGGATCTCCACTACCTAGGGATGCTTCCATTCAAATATGGTTGATATCCATCTCTTAGTTCCAGAGAAGAAGTGGCTTAAAGCAATATGGCAAAATAACCCTTTTTGGTCACGCCCCTCAGCTCCCTTAGGAGTCAGCCCCATCATTTGTACAATTTTGAGTCCCCGCTTCCCAAGAATGCTTCCGGCCAAATATAATGATATCCATCGCACAGTTCTACAGAAGAAGTCGTGTATAGCAATATAGCCAAGATGCCCCCTTTTGGCCCTACTCCTCAGCCCCCTGGGGGTCATCCCAACCATTTGTACAATTTTGAATCCCCACCACCTAGGGATACTTCCAGTCAAATTTAGTTCTAAATTCCAATAAGTGGTTAAGAAGAAGAAGTCGTTCGAAAAAAGTGTTGATATACGGATGACGGATGCCACAGTTTGACATAAGCTCACCTTGGTCCTTCGGACCAGGTGAGCTGAAAATTGTATGTCTGATAAGGTATCAGCCAATATCCATATTTTTAACCTTATCGTGCCTATCTTCAACGGTTTCAAAGTTTACAGTAAAGACAAGACTTCATTCAAAAGTTGTTACTTACCTGACCTTCGACCTAGAGGTGAATGTCATCAAGACCTTATTACACATTACTACCAATCACTGCGTAAAATATTTGGCTGATGTAGTTATACTTTAATCAGAAATCTGTGGGAAATTTCACTTGTTTGATCTTTGAGGTTAAGGTTACAGAGATCTAATTACAGTGCTATACACACCTTCAGCTGGTGATCAGCAATTTTGAATTTGCAATAAATGTAGAACCCTTGAAGATGAGAGTCAATATTGTATTAATTGTTCAATGTTGAATAACTCACCTGACGCACTATTTCAATGAACTTAAAATAAAAAATAATCATCTTAAATTAGGACATTATTGTATTAACTGATAGTGTTTTCTACAGAAGGAATGAGTTTGTGTAATGGGTTGTGTCAACTTGTGTGTATGTGTTTGTGGATGGATAGATGCCTCGAGATGTGCATACACGTGTCTGTATATGTAGGTGAGCAGGTAGGAGAGTGTGAGTATGCGTGCATGTGTATTTCAAGTAGTACAAATGAACTAATAATGTTCCAAAGACAAAAAAATACTATTCTAACCTGGTGTAAGTAATTCATCGCATGTGACATCCAGATCTGCATGAAAGTCACGTTCAAATTTCATCTCTCTTTGGATATCTTGAAAAGCAGTTGATATAAGACGAAAAAGTTCATGAAAGCTGAACTCTCCTTCTTCGGGACAGATAATTACTTTTTTACGGAACAGCGCAATTCTCTGTAGAGAACCAAACAGGGTATGATTGTCGTCAGCAACTTTGGAATTCCATCTTTCTTTATTAGGGTTTATCCCATTGATCTGCCTGACCACTTGTATACACAATGCTACGTCGAAATTAGAAATGTTTCCAGAAGACAGTATCTCTCGTTGATTGGTTGTGAATGTTCTACGTCTCTCAGATACTTTCCGACAAAACAACGAACACTGTGGTCTGCCAACTTTACAGTAGATCACTTGCCTCAAAATGTCAGCACAATTTGATTCAGCTATATGTTCCAAACATTGCTTTTCTTCGTCTGTTTTAGGCGGTGATTGTGCCCTGTTGAAACAGAAGTTTATCAAATAGAATTATCACTCACTGTCTTAGACGGGTATAAAATTGTGAATTTCAAACATACTTTTTATACATACAATACATTTAATGTCGGTGAACCCAAAACGGGACAGTACCCAAAACAGAAAATAATGAACACCTTATAGAAACATCTAGAAACTAAAAAGAAATACTCACTCTGCCATTTTATGAATTATTTCTGTAAAGAAAATGAAGAGAAATTATGTTAAATTGAGTTTCCAGGGTATTAATTTCTGGAGAACAAACTGGGTTTTTTGTGTGTAATAACTGTATTTATATAATTTGATGCTGATAAAGAATAGAAAATACATCAAAGTGTCAGCAATATCACATATGTATATATATTTATTACATTTTTGCCAGTTAAATATTGAATTCTATCAACTTGAAAAAAATGATATTTTTCACACTGTGACAAATATCACTTTTTGGTATTGACCAATCATAACGTTATCTTTTTTTCGCTGCATTCAAAGGCAACCATTTTCTGTTCAGATTCAAATGAAGCGACGGTATAATAAGTAGTTATGTTATGGTAAATTTTTGGAACACACACTAAGTATTTGCATATAAATATACAATTAATAACATTTGTATAAGCAATCATACCAGAAAATAACAAAAAAGTCGTAATTGCGTTGAGTATCCCATTCAAAATTATCCTTGTTTTCAAGTATGACGTCATTAGCATATGGCGCTAATTATAACGCTTCTGATTCCCGCCCTTTTTTAATGCATTAAATTTCTCATGTTTTATGCTTTGAAAATGTAATAAATAGAATTAATGGTGTCTTCAGTTATGATAAATATATTTCACTCATGTGGCTAATATTTTGATATTTTTCACTCGTGTGGCTTATATTTTGATATTTTTCACTCGTGTGCAAAAATATCAAAATATTAGCCATACTCGTGAAATATGTTTGTTATTACTGAAGACACCATTTAATGTCCTCTATATATGACAATATCTTGTAATACTACCCTTTTCCATACCTATTAATATTTATTTTACACAATAACAAACCAATACGAGAACACAGCAGACACCAAGACATTAAAACAATGTAAAAACATTTTGTAACCTACAAAAAATGTATCAAGGGCGATAATTTCGTTTCCTGCATCACACAATGCTAATGTTGAACTATCAGTCAATGAAATGTGGGCAGTTATCTAAATGGAAGTTTTTCCTCCTCGGCAGGCGTTAAAATTCGTCCAATTTTAAAACAAGCAAGTGCACTTAAGTATAAAAGTAGTCACATGTGTTATCTTCTTTAATGCTACATTAACACAATGCTTAATCAGCTTCGGTATTCTACAGTGATTAACCTGATAATGATAGCTACATAAAAACAGGCTACAAAATTGTTGCGCTCTTGATTAATTTTCGGCGTAAACATGTATGAAATTTTCCACAATCTTAATAATCAACATGCATTTTCCTAAACTATAATTATATTTTCGAGACCTGAGCAGCGCTTTTTTAAATAATTAATTAGTCTGTATCTTATTCTAAATAATGTCTATATTTGATGAGCACTGCCATCAACGTCAGCTCTAAAGGCCATATATAAGGGAACTGTACGTACTGTTGTCTGAGCTTTGTATGCAAAAGTGTCAACCTGTGATCTCCAAATCTGAAAACGTTTGACCTGTATGGCTGTTTATTAGTACAGAATGAATGGAGTAAGTAAGTGATTGCACTACTGAGTAAATAATCTAGGAATTATAACTGTAAACGTAGGACACACAAATTGAGATTACACATATAAAATGTGTTTATAGATACAGTAGTTATACTTCACCACACAGCTGTTTTGTCCCAGTTACAGGACGTATCGGTGATGCTGGGAGCATAGAGGTAGAAACCAAAATTGATGCGTTAGATAGATGATGGTAAAGAAATTAGTTTAGTTGTTTGCGACGTAAGCAAAGCCTTTGGCCGAGTCTGGAACGTGGTACATGTAGTACTGTTTCTTCAATATTTTTTACTTGTCATTTTTTTTGCCAAAACTCCTCCCCACCCTTATACACGAACCAACTTTCGTGGACTACAAAGTAATTGCAAACAACGAGTTGTAATTAATAAGGAATACTCAACTAGATAAAATATTAAACCCGGCGTCCTACAAGGCTATAGGGCCATAATTATTGTACACATTCGGTATAGGTATCGAAATAAATGCCATATTTAAGTTGTTTGCGACGATGCCTCATTATGTGTTATTGTTGATGCACTGCAATCACTGCCGATCTTTGTAATAGGGATTTCGACAATTTTTGTATTTGGTCTAGGATTTGTTTTATAAATAATAATCAACTAAAAACCGAAAAACTGTTTATCAGTAAACAAGAGATCCCAGAGAGATCTTGGCGCCCACCATCTTACCATCTTCATTAGTTCTATGTCATTGAACATGAACATAGTAAATACCTATTGATGTAGCTTTCGATCTAAACGTCATACCGCTGTGTATAAAAGACAACATTCAAAGCGAGTTGTCGTTTCACATATTTACTAGTACAGTACTTGATACGAAAGAAATAGAACCGATCATTGATATATCAAAAGGATCTGTAAAGTACTTCCTGGGAAAAAGTGATATGTCAAAATCCAGTTCTTTCGATCAGTTTCAAAATAATACATGCACAATTATAGACCAAGAGGACTCCCCATGTACAATTTTATAACTATCTTACAGGTGCTTTTTTAGAAATAGCGATAACAAACTTTTCAAATTCCAAGACGGCTGCCTTTCGGCATTTTGTTTATCAAATCAGTTTCAAAATTAAACATGCACAACTATAGGTCAAAGGGAGCCTACATATTAAATTTGAGATAAATTCTTTCATTCCCTCTTGAGAAATAGAGATAACAAACCTTCACTGTCAAAATCCAAGATGCCTGAACTTCGGCCATTGGTTTATCAAATCAGTCTCAAAAGTAAATATGCACAACCAGGGACGATCCTTCAATTTCTTACTGAGAAATAGCGATAACAAACCTTCACTGTCAAAATCTAAAATGGCCACCTTGGCGCCATTTTGTTTATCCGATCAGTCTCAAAAGTTAACATGCACAACGAGGGACCAGGGGGAACCTACATATCAAATTTGAGAAAGATCCCTCGACCATTTTCTGAGAAATAACGATAACAAACCTTTTTCTGTCAAAATCGAAGATGGCCGCCTTATATTTAACCCTTGAGAAAGATCCTCACAGTGCTTCATGAGAAAATAAAGATAAAAAAAAATGTTTTTCCGATTAGTCTCAAAAGTAGTGTATAACTAAGGACCGAAGGAAACCCAATTACCAAATTTGAACAAGAGGCCGAGAGGGCCTGTATCGCTCACCTGAATATGTTAAAAAATGATTGGTATGAAGTAAAGATTTTGCACGCCATGGTAGGTGCTGTAAGTACATATGAAATTTCAGAAAGATCCTTCCAGTACTTGATATATAACGAGAACAAACTTCAAACAGAGCCCCACCCCTATGCCCCTAGGGGGGTCATACCCACCAATTATACAAAATTGAGTCCCCTTGGCCCAGGGATGCTCCAGACTAAATTAGGATAAAATCCCTTAATCCCTATGATAGAAGAAGGATTATAAAGGTTTTACCTCTATTTCCCCTATTGTGCCCCGACCTTCATGTCCCAGGGGGGCCAGACCCACCGTTTATGCAAAATTGGTTTTCCTTTACCCATGGATGATCCACACCAAAAATGAACCAAATCCTTTCATTCCTACAGAAGAAGAAGGATTTTAGAGAATAATTTACTAGGTTTCCCCTATTGGGCGCCGCCCCTAGGGCCCCTGGGGGCGATTTATACACAATTGGTTCCCCTTCCCCCAAGGATGCTTCAGACCAAATATGTATCCCCTATTGGGCCCCGCCCCTTAGACCCAAGGGGGGCAAGACCAACCGTTTATACAAAATTTGGTGCCCCTACACCCGAAAATGTTTCAGACCAAATGTTGAACAAATCCTGTCATTCCTACAGAAGAAGAAGGATTTTAAAGAATTTATGTTTCCCCTATTGGGCCCCGCACCTCAGCCCCCAGGGGGGTCACAACCACCATTTATACAACATTGAGTCCCCTTGGCCTAAGGATGCTCCAGACCAAACTTAGTCAAAATCTACTTGGCTGTTCAGGACAAGTAGCGTTTAAAGGAAAAGTTGACGGACGGACGACGGACGCTGCGGTATTGCATAAGCTCACCATAGTCCTTCGGACCAGGTGTGCTAAAATATTCTATTACAGGAAATGTTTACTTACCTTTAAGATCAACAGTCTTGACAGGGATTCCTTCTTGGGTCATGGCACAGTCGACATTGAACTCTGGAGCTATAAAAGAAAGTTTAATTAAGATAATTTATATCATGTGCAGTACTTAAATACATGTATATAAATTATTTATATTAAAATTAAGTACAATATGATTTAATTTCAACATAAATATTTACTTTTTTACAATAATGACATTATATACACCGAGTTATTGCAACTCCTACCATAACCACGTACTGTAGAATATTAAACTAAATTCAATACTCACTTTTAAGATCACTAGAGATCTCTAGTAGATATCTCTAGATCTAGCATATTTGCTTCTTTCAGGCCTGGCAACTTTGGCATCAGGCTTCAGAGCTAAAAAAAATCATAAAATTTAATCAAAATTCATATATGCATCAATATATACAGACCCATTAGAAATTAGAAAACTATTATAAACAAGAGGCACAGAGGGCCTGTATCACTCACCTGGAAATTTTAGCAAAGTCGAAGTTAGAATAGCGTGAAGTTACTGGAAGTGTACATGTATTACATGGTTATTCAGGTGTTATATTTATAAGCAATTGGACAAAATCTTGTCATTCCTAAAATAAAAGGAGGATTTAGAAGAATTTGCTATGTTTCCCCTATTTGGCTCCGCCCCTCTGTCCCCAAGGGGGTCAGACCCATCGTTGATACAAAAGTAGGTCCCCTTCACAAAGGATGCTTTAGACCAAATATGGACATAATCCTGTCATTCCTACAGAAGAAAAAGGATTTAAAAGCTATTTTCCTCTTTGGACCTGCCTCTCTGTCAAAAGGGGGCTCAGACCCACTATTTATAAAAAATTGGTTTCCCTTCATCCAAGAATGCTTCATACCAAATTTGGACAAAATCCTGTTATTTCTCCAGAAGAAGGATTTTGAAGAATTTGCTATATTTCCCCTATTGGCCCCGCTACTTGTACAAAATTGAGTCTCTTTTGCCGAAGGATGCTCCAGACCGAATTGGCATTTTAAAGGTTTTACCTCTATTTCCCCTATTAGGACCGCCCCTCTGCCCCCACGGGGCCACACCCACCATTTATACAAAATTGTGTCCCCTTGGCCCAAGGATGCTCCAGACTAATAAGAATAAAATCCTTAACTCCCTACGGTAGAAGAAGGATTTCATAGGTTTTACCTCTATTTCATCTTTTGTGCCCCGCCCCTCTGCTCCCAGGGGGGCCACATCCACCATTTATACAAAATTGAGTCCCCTTAGACCAAGGATGCTCCAGACTATATTAGGTTTATTGTACATCACATGGTAATTTCTAGGATAGCTATTGGATAACTACCCTTGTTCTATTTGGTATAGTTAGCATCCGCCCTTGACAACGGGAACTATACCTGGAATCTGGCACTACACCTTTTTATTGGACCGCTGAGACTGCGGGAAAAGTAGCGTGACCCTAAGAGTTGCGCCCCTTCTCCAGAGGGCGCTGTACATATTCTACCTTCACTTCATTGTTGTCGTCTGCCAAAATGGCTTCGAATTTCGGGACCAGGAATGCCGATTGCTTTGCAGAGGCTTAGCAATGCATAAAGACGAAGTAGGCGACACCGTTTGACGTCGCAGTCCTTAAAGACTTCCTACTGGAAAAGGGGGACCGTACATTGTATGTGACCTAGCGGTGATCTCAATCCAGTGAATTGAATATGCAACAAACAAGAAGAGATCTACTCTAAAAAATATCTTATATTAACATTTGTTGTTAATTATTAAATACGTTACTTTTTATTGTCAAATGACAGTCATGTGATGTACTAAATCTATTATGACTCTTTCCCTCGGGAACAGTTCTCTTATAGTGTTGTCTGGAGAGGTATAGTGCCCTTGCCCAACGGATAGGGCCATAATAGAATAATAATCTTTTAATCCTTACGGTTGAAGAAGGATTTTAAAGGTTTTACCTCTATTTCCTCTATTGGGGCCCGCCCCTCTACCCCTAGGGGGGCCACATCCACCTTTTATACAAAATTGAGTTCCCTTGGCCCAATGACCATCCAGACTAAATTAGGTTAAAATACTTTAATCACTACGTTAGAAGAAGGATTTTAAATGTTTTACCTCTATTTCCCCTATTGGGCCCCGCCCCTCTGCCCCAAGGGGGCCCACACCCACCATTTATACAAAATTGATTTACCTTCCAAATATGATGTTTCTGTTTAAATTTGATCAAAATACCTTCATCCCAACGGAAGAAGAAGGAAATTAAATATATTCCTCTATATCCCTTTTTTGGCCCCGCCTCTCCGCCCCCATCGGGGTCAGACCTACATGTACTGTTTATACAAAATTGCTTTCCCTTCACCCAAAGATGCTTCATACCAAATTTGAACAGAATCCTGTCATTCCTACAGAAGAAGAAGGATTTTGAAGAATTTGCAATGTGTCACCTATTGGGCCACGTTCCTCAGCCCCAAGGGGGGGGGGGGGGGGCACATTCATTGTTTATACAAAATTGAGTTCTTTTTTTTCAAGGATGCTCCAGACCAAATAAGGATAAAATCCCTTAATTCCTACGGTAGAAGAAGGATTTTAAAGGTGTTTCGTCTATTTCCCCTATTTGGCCCAACCCCTCTGCCCCAGTGGGGGCCACACCAATCGTTGATACAAAATTTAGTCCCCTTGGCCAAAGGATGCTCCAGTACAATTAAGGATAAAATCCTTTAATCCCTATGGTATAAAAAGGATTTTAAAGGTTTTACCTCTATTTTCCCTATTTGGCACCGCCCCTCTGCCCTCAGGGAGGAAACACCCACCTTTTATACAAAATTGAGTCTCCTTGGCCCAAGGATGCTCCAGACTAAATTGGGTTAAATTCCTTTAATCCCTACGGTAGAAGAAGGATTTTAAAGTATTTACCTCTATTTCCTTCATTGGGCCCCGCCTCCCTAACCCCAGGGGGACCACGTCCACCGTTTATACAAAATTGAGTCCCCCTGGCCCAAGGGAACTCCAGACTGAATTATGTTAAAATCATTTAATCCCTACGGTAGAAGAAGGATTTAAAATGTTTTACCTCTATTTCCCCTATTGGCCCCCGCCTCTCTGCCCCAAGTGGGCCCACACCCACCATTTATACAAAATTAATTTCCCTTCCAAATAAGGTGCTACTGTTTAAATTTGATAAAAATACCTTCATCCCAAGGGAAGAAGAAGGAAAATAAATATATTCCTCTATATCCCTTATTGGGCCCCGCCTCTCTGCCCCAATCGGGGTCAGACCTACTGTTTATACAAAATTGCTTTCCCTTCATCCAAGGATGCTTCATACCAAATTTGGACAAAATACTGTCATTCCTACAGAAGAAGAAGGATTTTAAAGAATTTACTTTGTGTCCCCTATTGGGCCCCGTTCCTAAGCCCCCAGGGGGCCACACTCATTGTTTATACAAAATTGAGTCCTTTTTGCCCAAGGATGCTCCAGACCAAATAGGATAAAATCCCTTAATCCCTACGGTAGAAGAAGGATTTTAAAGGTTTAGCCTCTATTTCCCCTATTTGGCCCAACTCCTCTGCCCCAAGGGGGGCCACACCCATCGTTTATACAAAATTTAGTCCCCTTGGCCAAAGGATGCTCCAGAACAAATAAGGATAAAATCCTTTAATTTCTACGGCAGAAGAAGGATTCTAAAGGTTTTACTTCTATTTCCCCTATTTGGCACCGCCCAGCTGCCTCCAGGGAGGACACACCCACCTTGTATACAAAATTGAGTCCCCTTGGCCCAAGGATGCTCCAGATCAAATAAGGATATAATCCCTTAACTCCTACGGTAGAAGAAGGATTTTTAAGGTTTTACCTCTTTTCCCCCCTTATTTGGCCTCCTACAGAAGAAAAGGATTTTAAAGAATTTGCTATATTTCCCCTATTGGGCACCGCCCCTCTGACCCCATGGGGCCAGACCCATCATTGATACAAAATGTGTTTCTCTTCCCCCAATGATGCTTCTGACCAAATATGGAACAAATCCTTTCATTCCTACAGAAGAAGAAGGATTGAAAAAAAAATGCTATATTTTCCCTATTGGGCCCCGCCCCCCAGCCCCAAGGTCGGCCAGACCCACCTTTTATACAAAATTTGTTCCCCTTTACCGAAGAATGCTTCTGACCAAATTTGGTCAAAATCTGCTCAGTCGTTCATGACAAATAGCAATTTTTAGAAAAAGTTGACGGACGGACGGACGAGGGACGGACGATGGACGCTGCGGTATGGCATAAGCTCACCATGGTCCTTCGGACCAGGTGAGCTATAAAGATCTCTTCAGTCTTTCCGAGAAATAGCGATAAAAAGAATTGGTTAAGGTTGAACCACGGACCACGGACGACAGGCGATTGAAAATTTAACTTCCTAATGTCAAAGAAAATGAACACAATCCTACAGTTGACCAATCGGTTAGAATGCCGACTAGTAGAATTGGCTTTTTCAACTCTTTGCTTCGTTTGATGAACACATTTCACTTCATATGTCTACCCTCCAGTATATATAGTACCTGGTTTGAGTCACACTCTGGTTGATGTTTAATGATCTCCGGGCTTGTATGTTTGAGCTAATAGATACCCCATATCAAGTTTTAAGACACTTGTTTATAAAACTAGATTTCATGTCATGAAATATAACACACACATATATGTAGTTACATGTAGTGGTCGCTCTAGATCTGTTTCCACAACTTGAAAGGATATGGGAAATTTATATTCTATTATCATGATTGAAATTAAAACCCTTACATACTTGTCTCTGCTTTGTGATTGAGATTGACAATCGATTATAAATATGTAAATAAGGATAAGAAAGATATCATTACCACTATTCATCTCCAAATTTGCAAATATACCGTTATAGGCCGTCGCTGTTCCGTATCAACGACTTGACTTTGACGTGATTTTTGACGATGTCGACTCGGATAGGTCTAATTACTCTTTATTTTAACGGCTATATTTTTTTGTAAATCGAACAGGTGACAATATCTATTTAAATTTGTTTGGTCCGACCGGAGGTGTACCGTAATTAATTTTAAAATTAACCCACAAAACCAGTTACACTTCAATAAATCCAAATCCAAATGATATCTATAGACATGTAGCAATATGTAAGTTTGACTCACATTCATTAACAATGCTTTTTTTTGCCTTTTCTGCATCTCTCACATGTTTAGGCATACCTTCCTGGTATGTACATGAACTCCTGCTCTGAAGAAACACTACTTCAATATATTGTCAATTATCTAGAATTTTTGACAAAAAGATGATCTCAAGCTTTAAAATATCTTACATTCCATAACCACAAAACCTACCTGTCATAATTAGGGTCTCGTGTTGGAGATACGAGTTCCTTATAGTAATCACTGTCTGTCTGTCTGTCTGTCTATCCGTCTACACATTTTGTTCCTTGCTGATAACTTTGGTATTAAATGACCGATTTACATGAAACTTGGATGTTCAGTTAAAAAAAATACATACTAAGATTAAAAGTCAAGGTCAAAGGTCAAGGTCATTAGGTTCAAAGGTCAAGGTCAATTTTGCATCTTTTCACTGATAAACATTTTGTTATGACATGATGAAGCCAAGTTGAATTAAACAAGGAGTCAACTGACCAAAGATCAATGTCATCAGGTCTGAGGTCAAGGAAAAAGGTTAAGGTCAGATTTTGAAGCTTTTCACTAATGAGCATTTTATGACATTATGAAGCAAAGTTGGCTAGAACTTAACAAAGAAAAACACTGAGGTAAAAAGTCAAGGTCAAAGGTCAAGTTCACTGGGTCAAAGGTCATGGTCGAATTTTGTAACTTTTCACTTGTGAGCATTTTATGACATTATGAAGCAAAGTTGGTAGGAATTAGACAAATAATCAACTGCCCAATGGTCAAGATTACTGGGTCAAAGGTCAAGGTCAAATTTTGTATCTTTTCACTGATGACCCTTTTGTTATGAAATTATAAAGCAATGTTGGTCAAAATTAAACATTGAGTCAACTGACCAAAGCTTAAGGCCATTGTGTTAAAGGTCAAGTTTAACTTTTGTATCTTTTCCCTGATGAACATTTCGTTATGATGCTTTGAAGCAAAGTTGGTCAGATTTTAACAAAGAGTCAACTAACTTAAGGTCAAGGTCACAGGGTCAATGTCAGCGTCAAATATTATATCTTTTTACCGATGAACATTTTTTTTATGTTATGATGAAGCAAAGTTGTTCAGAACTTACCACGGAATCATCTAACCTAAGGTCCAAAGGTTCAAGGTCTAGGTCATGTTATGTTTTTTTCAATGACGAACATTTTGTTATGATATTTGCATTTCTGTTTGCCCAGCAAATATGGAGGTGGAAGCTTGATGTTCATAATATCATTATAATACTCACGTGTATTCAGCTTGATGTCAGGAGACCAAGCGCGGTTAGCAATCTAAGGGAGGTAGCTCTCCCCAAAATTCACTACAGTATCAAGTTTAAGTCCGTGAAAATTAACGAAGTCTTACACATTTCGGCAATTGAACTTCACAATAAACATTACAATTTATGCTAAGTTATTATATATATATCCATTTTGTCTTGTTTATAAATAGTTACTCGTATTTTGAAACACCTTGTTGAGTTATTTAATCGATTGCTTGTCTTACCAATGCATCCATTATACGAACCTGTAGTGAAAACAGGAATGTAACCTGACGAAGGGAAGAGTCTAGAGTCTAGAGAGGGTAGCAGTGAACGTTATTGAATTGTATTAATTGCCAAGAACATAGACTATACGATCACCTTTCGGATTTTACGGAGTGACAACTGGTACCCACCCTCTCCGGACTATGTTCTCCCTACATTACACAACTACATTCCTTATCGGTGTATTGTATTAATATACATAGCTACAGTATTCCCTTAATCACTTAATATAACTATTTTCTTACTAATTTTTCCTACTAGTTTACTGTTCTTACTCACCTATATTGTCTGTATCTACTTTCGTTTATAAAGGGGTTTTCCCTAGTCTCGTTCAACCAGACGCTTGATGACTTGTAATTCTCTCTTCGGCGTAGCTTGCGCAGACAACAAGAGTCTGGTTGAACGTGACTAGTTTTCCCCAAGTTTGCCACCTTTCGGTAATAGACTTGCAAAAGCCCATATCAACTATCATTTTACTGGAGTACTTTTTGTCGTACGCAACATCTTGTTGTGAATCGGCGTTTAAATGATAAGAAATGATATCATTGACACGCAATTAACCAGTGTAGAAACATAAAATTACAATGATTGATAGCACATACAAGAGGCACCCTTAAAATATAGAGTCAACTAGATGGGGGAGACGGAGGCAGGTTCGGCCTATTTGTATTTAAGTCGTCCCGGACCTTATAGCATTTGTTGAAATTTATGTTAGTTTCTACCATCTTGAAGAGAAATTCCATGCTTTTCATTAAATAATAACAAACGGGCAAACAGGTCTGTATTTGACCAATTATTTAACTTTTTCCACCGGAAAGTGGATGACAGAAAGGCAGTCTCGGACAAGTTCGGCCAACATAGGAATTGATATAATTATGACTTTCATAATACTGATTTGCTAAACCCTCAAAGTTGTAAGTATTAGCTCAAAACAAAATATATCAGGGGTGGCCGAACCTGCTCCGGTCTCACCTATATCAATTACTGTAATACTAGCAGATAGTATTCTCAAGTTCATATCATCCAATATGAAAAATACTAAATTTGAAGCCAAATGACCTGTGCTGTACTTTATACAGAAACATCACGTAGTCGAGTTGGCATCAATTGAATTGGCTGGACGTTCACATGAAAAATTGCGAATTTTCTAACGGTAAACCGAATTGCTACCCTTAAGGCAATCGTGTATAAAACTGAGAGAAATAATTTTTAAAATACGGATATGTTTGCCCCCCTTTTTTATGAAAAGCATGCGATTTATCTTCCAACTGGTGTAAATTCACTCAAATTTCGACAAAAATAAAATAAAATTGAACAAAATTGCCTCCGCGATCTCCCCCTGCCCCTGTTGTACTGAAGTTGTTACAGTACTAGATAATCAGTTAAATTTACAGTAGCAGTAGATATACTTCTTTTTATTCCTTTAACTGTATATTTTGTTTTAAGATGCACACGGGTGGCTTTCTAGTTGTATTCGACTTTCGAAGTGTGCCCGACTCGGATATTTTGTGTCCGATATTACCCCTAGATCACCAATACTCGATGACGTAGGGCACATAACAGTATGGGACACGATTCCAGCGAATCTGATATATTGTTTATATGGATCCTACAGTCTAACTTCGATGTTTCGAACTTTGCGTGACCATCTGGAAAAAATCGAAACATCTGGACTTTGACTCCCGAATAATAAGACAGAAGGTGATTCTTTAAAAAAAAATGACGAAACACAGGCTTCGACATTCTTACCAAATTCAACATTTATTTGTCAATTACAATTCCGAAGCTTGTACAGGTAAAATAACCACGGGACTTTTTAATGTTTTTGAACAAGTTAACATTTCACATCGATTTATTAGTTGTAATTTTCTATGTTTTTTTTATAACGAATGATCCTTGATTTTACTTCGAAACAGCGAGAAACTCGACGCATACAAGTACGATACATGTGTACATGAAAAGAATACAAGTAGTGCTATATAAGGGAACAATTCTAGACTTTGTCGTAGCTTCGGTACATCGAGAAGTTCGAATCTTCGAATTTCGATTTATGGAAGTTTGGCTGTATTATAACAGGCTTGACTGCCTTTTTTGATACACGTTGAGAAACGATGGGGCCACTTATTAGTATCAACCAGACGGACTTAGTTAGCATCTAATCTAAGTCCATGGTATTAATCCTACATGATGGCATCGACAGAAAAAGATCAAATTAAGAATCCCGGAACGGCTTTAAGTCTTTAGGGTACCACTAAATAAAATGAAAATAATTTTGATTTTCAAAAATAAAGAACGTATCCGATAGATACCCCGATCGACGTTATTATTCTCGGAATAGTCCAACTACTTGTTGATCCTGTGTTTTCCTGAAAGTTCTGTGACTGATTGATAAAAACGTAGCTGTACTATGACAGCTATTTTTAAGCACTGGAGAGAAGCTGCTACATGCACGTTGATCTTAGTTGCCAAGACTGACAGAGCCCCAGCGATTCGGCCCAAGCTTACTGGTACTGGCGACCAGTATGATTACAATATTTTGATGTTAGAAAGAAGCAGCAAAAGTAGGTTCATGCCTAACCTGTACGTATTTCCTGGAGGTACTGCCCACGAAGTTGACTTTTCGAAAGAATGGGTAGATGTTTTCAATGACTGCAACAGAGATAGGTTGTTTGAATTCACGAAGCGTGGTGGAACTGGATAACCTATGGTTAAATAGACGACGCAGTCAGGATTTTGAACACGTACCAAGTGAGCTAGCCTTTCGGATTTGTGCTATACGAGAAACATTCGAAGACTCTGGAGTCATATTAGTGAGAAATGCTGACGGGTCACTGAAGAGCAGTAACTTCAAAGACGTTCCTCTAGCAGTCTTTCCAAGTCGGTTAATCAGTTTTGGAGACCAAGAGTGATTGACGATGCAAAAGAGTACCTGATAATGTGCCAGAAATTGCAGGTTATGTTTGATTTTGCTCACTCCACGAGTGGGCTAATTGCATTTGTTAACCCCTACAGGAGTGTAGCGTCCATAGAAAAAAAAGCCCGCGCTTACACATGAACAATCCGTGTATACCAAATTTCTAAACAATGACAACTTAACAATAACAAAAGATGACATCATGCTTACAGTGCTTTACTGATGTGATATCAAAATATCCACTAAACACTCTTCGGTTCTTTATGACCTTTATTCTGTTTATTAAAAAAACCTGCAAGTACAAAATACAACACATTACACATTCACTCAAATCTCTCACATAGTCTGTTTACATCAATGGACATAACTCTTACATATATACTTAATTTATCATCGTAATGCATAAAAGATACCTTTTTTATTTAATGAACTCCATATAGAAATATGATATCATTTTTACAATGTATATATAAATTATATTGCAATTAGTTCTACATATCAATACCAGTTGATATGAAATTTCATTATACTAACATACAAAATAATCTAAATATAACAAATATACATTTTAAACGTACCCCACAGATCCTGCGGGGGTTTACAGAAATTCCCTTTGTCTTGAGCGACTTATGAAAGGTGAACAGTTCTTACAGTGTTATACATGTACTACTAAAAATGAAATAAATACCTTTTAAAACAATACCATTCACTATACATGTGAAAGACCTCGCAAAATCTGCAAGTAGAGCACTAGGTGCACTCATTGGAAAACATATCTCTCTGGGAGGAATGCCATTTGATGTATTCACCAAACTATATAAAACGGTAGTGGAACCGGTTCTTATGTATGGAAGTGCCATTTGGGGTACCAAGGAACATGCAGCAATAAATATGGTACAGAACAAAGCTTGCAGATACTTTTTAGCTGCTGGAAAATATGCATATAGNCTGTTGGAAAATATGCATCTAACACAGCTACCCGCGGAGACATGGGTTGGTTATCATGCTATACAAAACAAAAGATTACATTCTTAAGGCTGATGTGTAAAATCAAAAGAATGGAGGACAGTCGACTAATTAGTAGGATCACGAGATGGTCATCCAGATATCGGAAGGGATGGTATTTCGCGGTTAACAAATTTATGAATAATATAGATACGGACAATCTAGTGAATACTGTGAACTTTTCTACACAATATGTCGTAAGAAATCTTGTGAATAAATTACGCGCTGCAGATAGTGCAGAGTGGCAAAAAGTTCTATGGAACGAAAATTATAACGTGAACGGAAATAAACTCAGAACATATAGGCAATACAAAAATGATACAGGCACAGAGAATAATGTGAAATCGGACATTCTACGAACCAACAGGCGATACCTAGCCCAGTTTCGCGCCGGATGTCTTCCGCTAGCTGTGGAGACTGAAAGATATGCCAGGCCGCCCATTCAACTTCATGATAGACTGTATACCCATTGTGATATGAGGAAAGTCGAAGACGAAAAACATGTCTTAATTGAGTGCAAACTGTACAGTGATTTAAGATATAATTTGCGAAATCAAGCCTGTGATGTTATAGAGGGGTTCTTAATGCAGGACTGTGACACACAGTTCCTTAACATAAAGACAAATGGTGTACTCCATCTAAATATAGGTCAATTTATTTTTAACGCGTTTTAGCATCAATGTGCTAGAATAACTTAGTGAAAGTTGGTATAAGTACTGTTCTTTCAAAACGCGATGACACTTGTTCTTTCGTATTTTATTGCATTTTGGAGTCTCATAAGTCATACTTTACTTTGACAACAATGTATATTGAAATAACTTAAACCTATACATGATATAATAA